TACGAATAATTTATTACCAAGTTTATCCATTAAAAACTATACTAAAAAAAGTTTCAAAAAAAAGAAAAAAAGAGTGTATAGAAAAGGTAAAAAACTCTTAACGTGTAATAAAAAACTCTCTGGCGGACTACCGCCGGCATACCTCCACCCCTGGTATCTAGGCGTATCCGAGTCACTGTAAAAAGCAGAGCTTTTCCCTGAAACATATCCATCTAGGAGCTTCTCAGGCATTGCGTCTTGTAGATTGAGCAGGTTCATCTGTTGAAGATTAATACTACTGAATTAAGTCCATGCTAATTAGCTTGACTCCTGTATAGAACCTACACACAACAGGATTAATGTGCGCAGATTCAATAGCACGCGTCGGCGTGCTAGATTTAAATTGCCCGTATATCCTCTAACTGCAGACCGTATATATACAAAGCTTCTATATATCACTGACCTGGACCGTCGGCTGGTTCTTTGTGCTCTGTGCCGGGTTAAAGCTACTCTGTTCCCCCTATTGCTAAATACGTCCTTATTCGCATCCTAATAATCAGAGCTGCTGGGAGGGTGACTTTTTGCAAAGATCACCCTATTTATGATCATATCCCAAGCTTACTTTACTATGAGAGTGAATATAATCGCTAGAACACAAGAGTGCTCTTCATATATTAAATAATTTCTACTTACTTGTAACAGGTACAGTTCAGAGATTCATAGTTAGGTAAAAAGAGGAGATTCAAAAATCGAATCCGCAAAAAAGTTGAATCTAGATTCAAATTAATTATGGATTCGATTTTTGAATCTGATCATAATTCTGAAATTTTAGTTCGGCAAAGCATAAGAATGCTTTACCTTAAGCCCTTTCACCACGTCAAGGTAAATCAGAAAGAAAGGGATTAATGTATGATTCTCTTAAGAGAATTACTTATAAATGTACATAAATAACTTTAAAACTCTTTTTAAAAAATTATATATATTTATACTAAAACTAGTAACAGTAGAAATGTATAAAAATAACTACAAAAATTTGCTAAATTTTGATTTTTCAAAATTTGTCAGCGTTGTTTTTGATGGCACTAATCTGGTCGATTAGTTTACTTTTTTTAATATGAAAATAAAGATCGGTTTATTCTGTTGTTTTAAAATAATTTTTTTTTATATTTTACTATTGATATTTAAGAAACATTATATATAGTAAAAAGTGGAACTTTCCCGCTATCTGATAAAACCCCTTTTATCAAGGAATAACCTGATAGTGAAAAGGCTGGATTTTTTTTATAGTATATTCATTATTCCTGTGCGCTGGGTTTTTATAATGTATATTATATATTAATTTAAAAGACTTTACTACTATATATTTTTTTTTATAAAATTTAGATTTAGTTTTGGAATGTAATTAACTTTTATTTTTATTTCTAATATTTCTTTTTATCTAATATTCTTAAATATAATATATTCTTATTGATTTTTAAATATATTTTTAATAAAAAGGTTGAAAAATATTTGAATTAATTTAATTTTTTTCTGCTTAAATGATGCTATATGGGAAAAATCTGAAAATATATATTATTTAATATACAATCAAGTACTATATGTAGCTTTTTGATATTAAGTAACGCTTTTTACATTTTTAAAGATTAGTGGTTTTTTTATTTTAGATTGTTTAAAAAAATTACCTTTGTATTTTTTATTTCACAAAGAATTTAGTATTTATATAATAATAAAAAGTATAAAAACCTTAATACAAAATATTTTTAGGGAGAATAAAATTTTAATTATAAAATTAAACTTTGTAGCATAACATAACAAATATAAGTTAATAGGATATATATATATACAATTATAATATTGTAAAATTATAAAAAATTTACTAGAACATACAATAAACAAAACTTTTTTTTTAATTGTTAATGTCAGAAGCTGGAGTCGAGACTAGAAAAGAGAGATATGCTTATTGGTTAATAGGCTTTATTTATCACAATAATCAGCTTGACCTTTCACATTATGGCTAAGCTGGAACAATTTATAGAATATTCTAGAAACAAAGGGAATACTAAATAACTATGGGGAATCATATTCTATAAATAATAAAAATAAGGTTGAATCCAATATGAGCATGACAGTTAAAGTTAATATTGATTTTAACAAATTGTAAAGTATATCTTAAAGTCTCTAATAATAAAAGGCTATGTTAATAAACTATAAAATTAAAAAAATATAGAAAAAATAATTTTTTAAGTATTTATACAACCTAAAATTAGTAATTTACTTTTTTTTTGTATATTTATTGTACATTAATTCCAATTTTTTATAAATAAGATATATTTTAGAACCTAATGTTTATTTGGCTGCAATAATGGTGTCTTATAATAATTTGTTTTTTATTTATTAAATAAAATATTTTTATAAAAGTTAAACCTTAATAAATTATATTATAATATCAAAAAAAATCAAAAAACTAAAATTTTAATATGAGATCTGTTACTAAATTTATTTTTATTTTTATTACATTTTATATTTTAGCTTTTAGCTTTTTTTTAGATCTATTTTAAATAATTTTTTTTTTCATCAAGGATTAACTAATATCAACTTTTAATTGTTGTATCTTATTCATGTATTGATTTATATTTTTATAATAAGACTCACTATTTTTTATGAGATCATTAAGATTATTATAGCAAAATATTTTTTAGTATATTTTTTACTGATAGTATTTTTAATATAAAAATATAATAAATCAAAAAAATGATTTGGAAATAATTTTAATTATGTTTAAGATAGTTAATTAAATATAAGCGGAAAAATATACCAAATTGTATCGATTTAATATGTTGTTAATGTTTTATACTATAATCTCAATATTCTCAAATCAAAAATTTTTTAATTTCTTTAATTTTATTTTCAGAGGTTACGCCATGCTCACATTAGATTTAGTCTTAACTTTAGTATTTATAGAAATTTATTCCCATAGTTATTTATTATTATTTTTTTTCTATAATATTTTAAATAGTTCCGGCTTAGTCATATTATGAAAAAATAAGTTGGTTAATGCAAACAATAAGCATAAACAGCCAATTATCATACTCTCTTCTTAGTCTTAAACTTCAGCTTCCAACAGGCTAATATTTAAATCGAAATTTAAATATTATAAGCAATAAATTATTTGAAATTTATAAAGATATACTTAAATGTAGATGACTCTAAAATTAGGCCTTTTTT